GACTTGATGGCACCTAACAACAATAACAACAAAAATCTCATGGGAGGTTTCCCATGTTCCTCTCACAAATATGAGCTAGTAGGAAACCTCAATTTAACTGGACAGGAGATCTGAGAAAAATGGATGGAACGTGATGTAAGGTTTCCAGGAGTTTGGAATAGATGAGAAGCTGTGGGGTTTGTTTTGTTATTTTCTTTTGTTCAAATACTTTAGAATTGAGACTTGATAGTAATCAAGTCCCATCAATACAAAACCAAATCTACTTCTATGGAGTCAATTTGAACTCATGACGGAGTCAATTCTGACTCATGACTGCCTTCCACTAGTTTTCTCAGGCCGTAAAACTTTATGGTAGAAGACTGCCCCTCTTTCCCCCATGACTGGAACCTCTAACCTTTAGGTTAGCAGCATAACACAGAACACACTACAGCACTAGATCGCCTTCTATCGGTATAAAGAGAGAAGTTAGTGCCCGACTCTAAATCGTTGTTGTTGTTGTTGTTGTTGTTGTTGTTATGTGCCATTGAGTCACTGGAGAAGAGTATTGGATATGCCATGGACTGATAGGAGAACAAACAACTGTAGATATGAAGGTACAATAAAGTTGCCATTGCTTTAGGGCAAAAGTCATCTCAATAAACCTGTTCCTGATTAAGCATTGTCCAATTCTAGAGTCATGTCCAACTCTAGATTGTTGTTAGGTGCCATCAAACTGAGTACAACTCATACCAACCCTATGATCAAAAGATCTGAGCCCTGTTCTATCCTGTGCCATCCTCACACTTCCTGACACACAAAAGCCCATTGTAGCAGTCACCATGTCAATCCACCTGGTTGAGGGTCTTCTTGTCCTTTGCTGACATTCTACCCTTCCCAGCATCATATCCTTCTCCAAGGAATAGCCCCTCCTAGCAACATGCCCAAAGTATGTGAGGTGAAGCCTCATCATTCTTACCTTCAAAGAGCACATTCTCCAAGACCCATCTGTTCTTTTGGCGATCCATGGAATCTTAAGTAGTCTTCTCCAATACCACAGCTCAAAGGCATCAATTCTTTTTCTGTCATCCTTATTCATTGTCTAGCTCTCAGATGCATAGTATGTGATTGGAAAGACCATGGCCTGAATCAGACACACCTTAGTCCTCAAAATGACATCCTTACTCCTCACTAATTTGCTATTTGTTATTCTATAAATCCTAGTCAACTCAATGCATTTTACATTAACCATTTCAGGAAAAGGAAACAGAGATGTGCTGATTAGTTTTGAAGTTTATTTTAGACTACTTAGTTATAAAGAAAAACAGAAAAGAAAGTTTAGGCTGGTAAAATAAATTGTTATACATAATATATTCTATGATTCTGGAATACAGTAAAACTGATCAGGCAAACATATTTGTTTCCAGTTTTATTTTCTACAGTACCCCTGGCCATTTGTAGGTGGTATGGAGTGCAATTTCAGGGCAAGATTTAGAAAGAGTTACAAGATAAGAAGAAAACTTTATTGTATTTAAAAAAAAAAAAGAAAGCAACAGATAATACCATTTCACTTCACTTTCAGGTGAGTAAAAGAAAACAGGAAAAACTGCAGAACCTAACTTCTTGCATAGCACCACCCAGTGGCCCAGGCTGTGAATTTGTTTTTATTTGTCCAGAACTGCAAATTCTGAAGTTGTGAACGGATTTGACAAGTTGTTACTCAGACTTATAAGAAGGTGTAAATGCCAGCTGAGAATACATTTGAATCGATCTTAAAAGAATACGTCACACATCAATGAATGGCTATGTCTTTGCCTCTGTGCAGAACTCCTGGGAGGTGTAATCTCCATTAGGTAAGCCCTAGTTCTGATCACACCCTGAGCCAGTCATTCTTATACAGTGAGTGATAGGAGTCACTTCCAGGCTGTCTTGAAACAAAGTCTTGAGAAGATAGAGGGCAGCCTTCAGCTAGGCACCTTGCTATTTATGTTTACAAGAGCACACTTTTAGGAAGTTAGGAGTCTGATTTAAACTTTGTTTCTCAGTGTTCAAGAAGGTTATAGACTATGGCTTTTTTTCTTAGCCAAGTTTTCCAATCTTCTGAATGTTGTTAAAAATCCTATCTGGCAGGCATTCTCTGGGGATGCAAAGGCCCTGTGCTAGACACTGGCACCAAAGATTTCAAGAGGGACATGGAAAGAAAAGGAAAAAAATGATAAGGGGCTATCTCTTGTTCTTTTCTTAAAAGCACACCCACAGCTATGTCCAGACATAACTAAATGCACACAGACCTTGTGAAGAGAGCTGTAAGATGACAGAGTTGGCTGCTTAATCAAATGCCACAAAATCCCAGTAAATCAAAATAACTGGATTTAGTTAGAATACATCTGGCAAATTAGTAAAGGCTTTATCTTTGTCTCATGTCAGCTACCTACCACAAGGGCTTATTCAATGACTAGAAATAACCCAACATTAAGTAAAAATATGTGTTTCGAGATAGGAGAATCTCTCTTCCATCACCGTGGAGTTAGAACCAACTCCAAGCTGAACCTCTGTTGGATTTCCAAGGCTGTAAATAGTGTGGGAGGAGAATGTCAGTCTTTCTCCAGAGGACTGGTTGGTGGATCTGAACCATCAGAGATACGTGGTCTTGGAGTTAGCACAGCAGCTCCCCACAGACTAGGCCACCAGAGCTCACAGTCTGGAGAAAGGTAGAGTGGAATTAAGGCCCTGGTGGGAAGTTGATTCACCAGACTTTAGAATCACATGTTGTTGTTGGATACTGTACAGTCAGAACTGACCCGTAGCTGACCATCTGGAGGGTTTTCAGGGACAGTTAATTGCATGAGAGGAGATTTCCCATCTTTCTCCCACAGAGCAGCTGGCGGCCTTCAGGATTACAGTACAGCTTCTTGCCATGAGGCCACCAGAGCTCCCTAGAATCATATACCAATAGGAAGGATCTTGGTAAACCGAGGCCATGCTAGGCTGGTTGACATTAATTAATGATACAACACATAGTTTTATATGTGGAAGAGTGAAAAGATTACAAGGAAAGTGACCAATTCAAGTGTTATGGGGGGTGTGTGTGTGTGTGTGTGTGTGTGTGTGTACTCAAGTCTATGCAATTATAGAATAAACAATCACTTCCCAAAGCTGCTTTTCTTGAACATTGAAGGACCTCTTATTCCTATTTCAAAAAGTTCAACATAGTAGTGCAACCTAACAACATTCCGATTACGACTGGAATCCCCACATGGGCCTGTAGAAGTAGTATGCCCAGTCAGTGGGTTTTAAGTACCTGTTTTGGTCAAAGGGATTGAGAAGAGCTGCTGAAGGAGCTTGTTCTCTGACGTTCTCAGGATCACAACCACATCAGCAGGGAGAGTGTCTCTGTTCTTCTCAAGAACCCCAGAGGCATCATATAATACCTACACCATGAGGAGCAAATAGCAAATTAGCCAAATTCACTTGGTCATTTGTTGGCAACATTGGCAGGTTGTCCAAGGTGAGTCACTAATGCATAGAATTTATCTTGATACAACCACATTTTTTAATCCAGACCATCAGATGAAGAGAAAGGGGGAAAATGCAATTTTTCACAGGTTAGTTTATCTTTGGAGCTCTGGTGGTGCAAAGGGTAAGGAACTGTGTTGCTAACCCAAAGGCAGGCAGTTCAACTCCACCAGCGTCTGTATGAGAGAAAGATGGGCAGTCTCCTCCCATGCGATTTACAGTTGATGAAAATCCTCTGGAGGGTCAGCTATGAGTCCATTCTCACTTGATGGAACATGACAACAATATCATACCTAGGTTGTTCTTTGAGGAAAAGTCTTATATTGTTGTTGTTGTGTGCTGTTGAATTGGAACAACCCATAGCTGACTCTGCAGAAGGTTTTCAGAAGCAGTAAGTAGCATGGGTGGAGAATATTTAGCCTTCTCTGTGGCATAGCTGGCAGATTCTAATTGTGTGCCTTGGTAATTACAGCACAGCTTCTTAACACTAGGTCACCAGAGCTCCCTATCAAAGATTTATGACATTAGAAATGTATTAAAATGCACTGGACTCTTACATGGCATCCAACCTATGAGATCAATGCTATTATAATTTTCATTTTATTGGTGGATATATTGAGACTTGGAGTTAGGTGGAATAGTGTGTCCCTGGACACATGTCTCAGAAGTGGTAGGCAGCCATCAAAACCCAGGCTTTCAAGCTCTAGGCTCTTACCCACTGGGTGCTCACTGTCTCCTGAGGTGCTCAAGAGAGCAGAGTGACCACTCCAGTTTCAGAGCAGCTCTCAGAACTGAGGGGGGATCCAGTCCAGGGAAACTTTAAGGACACTCCAGAAAAACCCCTTCTCTATGAATAAGCTGTGAATAGCAAATGGAATTTTAAAAAGGACAGAGCCCAGAGCAAAAAGGATTCCTTTTCCTCTTAAAATCAAGAAGGTAGGAAAAAGGATGGATGTGAAAGGGTCATAGAAGGACAAAGAGATGGTAAGAAAGGTGAGAGGAGGATAGGAACTAGAAGGCGCAGAGAAGAACAAGAAGGAGAATAAGTAGCTGGGGTGGTTCGGGCAGAACAAAACCCATGTGGGGGGTCAGACATTAATGCTAAGGTAAATGATAAATTTATGAGCAAAACTTGTAATTTCTAACAAAGGTTCAAAATTAGTATAAAGTACTACATAGAATGAAAAAAACAGTCAATCTCCTTGACTTGCATTATAACTACTTTTCAATCAATAAATTTAGTGTCATGCTAGGATTATGAAAGATAATTTTACTAAATTTTGAACCATCAAGATAACTCAAATGGCTTTTATTTCACTTCTCCCATTTTCAAGGACCTCTGCCTCATCAGACCCCACAGAAGCCAATTAGCCCTAACTAAACGGCTCCTTTGAGAGTAATACAAGCAACAAGTTGACTAGAAAACTAGAGAATTTCCTGAATCAGCCACTAATCTGCTTCAGAAAGTTGAAATTGAAACTGAGATATAATTTATGAAAAGTGGTTCAGTTAATGTTGTAAAAGCTCAACATCTGGTCGAGGAAGTAAATCTCCCTCCCCCCTTGCCTCTTCATCTGGACATTTTTTGGGTGTCCATTTAGAGATGTGCTTAAAGTGCTAAAAATTGAGCCCCACTGTGATATTAACCCTCCTCCATTACCTACACATCTCCAAATTACTTTGGAATGTGAACATTAGCAGCTAAACACTGCGAAAAGCTGTAATATGTTTTCTCTCTGGAGAGCTGTCACTTGTAGGCCGAACCTCAGGTGAGAGGCAGATGGTGTCTCTGTGGGCCATCCCAGTGAGAAATTGCTTCAATGCCAGGGGCAACTTTCTGTGAGCAGCACCACTGAGTTTGGGAATTATGATTAGGTGTTCAAAAAGAGTCAAGAAAAGGAAGAAATCTGCAAGCAATTTCATGAGTGCCACAGACAGCATTATGGACACTTTACCTCCGTCAAATTCAGGTTTAATAACTATCATCTCTGCTCACCTTTCCAGCATAGTGCCGAATGCCAAAACACAGCTCCACTCCTTTGGGCCTCCAGAAGTATTTGCTTCTTAGGTTATCTTCAAATTTATCTGCATGAATTTTTAATGTTTAAAAGTTACAATGTGAATTATTAGCTCCATCAAATAAATGTGCTACTATAACTACAGTCACACTAGAACTACTCAATAGGGCTATACAAAATATGGGAGCAGAATGCCTCCTCTTTTTTCCATGGAGCAATGGCTGACTCTTGACCTTTCAAATTGGTAGTCCAACACTCAACCCACTGCACCACCAATGTTCCTTCTTAAGCTGTAAGTTTTTCAAAACCAAAATCAAAACCAATTGCTGTCAATTCTGACTTATAGTGATTCCATGGGCTGAGAGTTGTTTTTGTTGTTATTTGTCAAGTCGGGTTATACCTTTCCCAACTTTAAACCAGGAAGTGCTGTCTTGCTGTGTCCAAACAACAGCTTCTTGGTCTAAGTATGTTGTTCTTGTTGTTTTTAGGTGCTGTTGAGTCAAGTATGACTCACAGCAAACTTAGGAACAACATATCTGAACCCTGTCCTATCCTGTGCCATTCTCACACTCCCTGATACACCAGAGCCATTGCGGCAGTCACTGTGTCAATACACTTGGTGGAGGGTCTTCCTCTCCTTCGCCAACCCTCTACCTTTCTAAGCATCATGTCCCTCTCCAAGGAATAGCCCCTCCTAGTAAAGCAAAGCCTCATCATCCTTGCTGCCAAAGAGCACTCTGGCTGCACCATCTCCAAAACATATTTGCTTGTCCTTTTGGTCATCCATGGAATGTTTAGCATTCTTCTCCAACACCACAGCTCAAAGACATCAATTCTTCGTCCATCATCCTTAGTCATTATCCAGCTCTCAGATTCATAGCAAGTGATCAGAAAGACCATGGCCTGAATCAGACACAGTTTAGTTGGCAAACTGACATTATTACACCTCAATATCTTGGAGGGATCCCTAACTGCAGGCCTTTCCTAGTGTAAGATGTCTCCTGATTTCCTGACTGCTGGTATGAAGAGTGTTAATTCTGAGTACAAGTAAGATGAAATTGTTGACAGTTTCAATATTTTCTCCATCTATCATGATGTTAACTTGTGGTAAGAATCCTTGTTTTCTTGACATTGAGACGCAATCCACACCAAAGGCTGCATTCTTTGATCTTCCGCAATGAGTGCTTCAACTCCCACTCACTTTCAGCAAGCAAGGTTGTGTCAAATACATAACACAGATTATTGATGAGTCTACCTCTGATCCTGATGTCCCTTTTCTCTTCATAGAATTAAACTTCATAAATCATTTACTCAGCATACAGACTGAATACGTATGGAGAAAGGAAAAAAATATACAACCCTGATGCACTACCTTCTTAATTCTTTTTAATTATTATTTTTTTTAGAGAAGTCAGAAGTTATAATTCAGGTTAGTAGCAGAATACAATCACTCAGTCAAGACAGCTTCCAAAATTTGCTCACGGCTTTGGGCGACTGTTAAAAAGTTCTCAGTCTTGCCAATTACGGCTCTTTCCACCCCATTCCCAGGCCTCCGTGTATTTGTTTTTGTTTTTTGGGTTTTTTTTCTTTATTTTAATGAACATTTACAGAGATTTTGGACTTCCATTTATTCATTGCTGCACTTCTCCTTCTTCATTTTTAAACCAGTTAATGTTTCCTTGCTGTTCACACAGCAGCTGCCTGGCCTAGGTATAGGTTTTGCCCAAGCACAATTAAGTGCTCTGGGATTCCTATTCTTCCCAATGTTAATCATAACTTATTATGACCCACATAGTAAAATGCTTTTGCATAGTCAATAAAGCACAGACAGACATTCTTTTGTTATTCTTTACTTTGAGCCAGAATCCATCCAACATCAGCAATGGTATCCCTAGTGCCACAGCCTCTTCCAAATCCTACTTGAACTTCTGGCAGTTCCGTATCTCTGTACTGTTCTAGCCATTTTAAATGATTATCAGCAGTCTTTTGCTTGCATGTGATATTAATGACTGTGTTTGATAGTTTCCACACTCTGCTGGATCACCTCCCTCGGGAATGGGAACAAATATGGATCTCTTCCAGTCAATCAGCCAGACAGGTGTCCTCCAAATTTCCTAGCATAGACTGGTGAGTGTATCCAGGGCTGTATCTGTTAATCCCATAGATTCTTGGGGCCTTATTTTTTGCTAATGCATTCAGTGCAGCATGCATTTCCTCCTTTACTTCCATTGACTCCTGCTCATATGATACTTCCTTAAGTTTTAGTGTCAGTCAATTTTATTTATTTATGTATGTATGCATGTATGTATGTATGTATGTATGTATTTAATTTCGTACAGTAGTTCTGCATATTCCCTCCATCTTATTTTGATGCTTTATGGGTTATTCAATATATTGTCCATAGCATTTTTCAATTATAGCAATATCGCAACTCAAGGTTTAAATTTGCTTTTTAGTTCTTTCAGCTTGAGAAATGTAGAATGACTTCTTCCCTTTTTATTTTCCAGTTCCAGCTCTCTGAACATTCTGTTATAATACTTTGCTTTGTCTTTTCAAGCTGCCCTTTGACATCTTCTGTTCAGCTCTTTTACTTTGGCATGCTTTTCCTTTGTTTTGGCTTCTCAATGGTCTAGTGCAATTTTGAGAGTGTCTTCTGATATCCATTTTGGTGTTTTTTTTTTCCTTTCTCCTCTGTCTTTATAAAGACCTTTTAATTTCTTCATGTATGATATATCCTTGATATCATCCCACAACTCATCTGGTCTTTGATCATTGGTGTTCAAGGCTTCAAAGTTATGATTAAGATGATCTTGAAATTCAGTTGGAATTAGATTCAAGATCATATCTTGGTTCTTGTGGACTTATTTTTCTTCAGCTTCAATATAAACTTGCATGTGAGTAATTGATGTTCTGACCCACAGTCTATCCTTGGCCTCATTGCCAATACTGAGCTTCTCCAACACTCTCTTCCACAGATGTAGTCAATCTGATTCCTATGTAGCCCATCAGGTGAGGTCCATCTGTAAAGTCATCATTTGTGTCTTTTAAGAAAGATATTTGCAATAAATAAATTCTTGAAAATACAAAACTTGATCATTCTGTTTCCAGCTCATTCTATCACTAAGTCTATATTTTCCAATTACTATTCCTTCTTCACTGTTTCCTACTTTTGCTTCCAGTCACCAATTATCATTAATGCATCTTGATTTTATGTTTGGTCAACTTTGGAATGCAAGATGTGGTAAAAATTCTCAATTTCTTCCTCTTTGACACTAGATGTAAGAGTGCAAATTTGAATAATAGTCGAATTAATGATTTTCCTTGTATGTGTATGAACAATATATTATCACTCATAAGACTATTTCAGGATAGAACTTGAAATTGACTTTTTGACTATGGATATAACACCATTCTTCTCCAATTTTTCATTCCCAGAATAGTGTTGTTGTTATTGTTGTTTTTATATGCCATTGAGTTGCTTGTGACTCATAGTGACTCTATGTAAACAAGCCCTAAAACCCTGCTCTATCCTGTGTCAACCTTATTGTCTCTGACACACTTACTCCCATTACCTCAATCACTGAATTGATCCATCTCATCGAGGGTCTTCTTCTCTTGTGCTGTCCCTCCACCCTCCCAAACATGATATTCCTCTCTTCAAGGACTTGTCCCTCCTTACAACATGCCCAAAGTATGTCAGA